ATTGTGAGTTCGCCTGTCTCACGCTAGCCTTGTTTTATTAAAGTATTTCCTCGTTAATTCATTAGGTTTTGTCATGTTTAATTTAGCGGATTTCTCACTGAGACAATGTGTCGTTAGTCAGTGGCGGGTTGATCCGGGAGTCTTTTAGCAGTGTTACACGTGTGCGGACCTTTTAATCACGTTATGCTGGTCGTGCCGCCCGAACACTTGTTATCCGTGTAACTCTGTCTGTTTTCTGAATAAAGCCTATTTACTCTTGATTGAACCACGTTTCCTTGAACCAACGGAACGAACGACCCGACAACAGTGTGACGGATAAGTGATCGAGTGAGTGTGACGGATAAGTGATCGAGTGAGTGTGACGGATGAGTGATCGAATGAGTGTGACGTATGAGTGATCGAGTGAGTGTGACGGATAAGTGATCGAGTGAGGGAGCCTCGGCCGAGTGGATGACAGATTGATCGGCTTGCTCTCTGATAAATATGAAGCGGCTCTATCATTTGGATGAGGAATGGGAGAGGAGGTGGCAGCTGGGAGGGATGGAGGCACAAGTGACGGGGATGAGGAATGGGAGGAGGTGGCAGATGAGAGGGATGGAGGCACAAGTGACAGGGATGAGGAATGGTGGAGGTGGCGGGTGAGAGGGATGCAGGCGTGGGAGGAATATAAAAGCCGATCACTGATATGCGTGGGACGACAGTGTTACGAGAACGTGACCGAGACAACAACGTGAAAGTTACGAGTCAGGGAATTCGTAACACTTTGAGGGAGAAGACTGGACGAGTTGATACTTCAAAAATCTAAAATAAAAAGATACGGCAAGAGGTCTCTGAAGAATACATTGATGAGAACCCAAAGAAGAACCATGGGCTACGGCCATAGCAACGCGCTAACTAATAACTTTGAAGATAATTTAATTAACAAGAGGCCATGGCAGCTCATGTGAATTACTTCAAAGAACTTCCCAGAAAACTACAAGACTTATTTTACACTATGTAGCTAAATACATGACAAGTGCAACTCTATTCTTAATATCGGGTATTTGTAGTTCACGGCTGTCCCCAAATCCAGACTTCACTGCTGTTGTCCCAATGTCCGGAATTTACACTCGCTGTCAAATTACCTTGACTGCCCTTGACAAGTTGTCAAGCGTGCGGCTGACAAGGCTCTATGGGCCCGAATATTGTCCTGGCAGTGATGTCTTGTCAGGGGGAATATCGCCCCCTGGGGGGAGGGACTGCCCCCTGAGGGGTTGGGAGCCAGCATTGCTATGCATGGAACGTGGACGCCGCGGCGAGAGTGGCTACGGTGATTCTACAGGAGAAATAAATTTTACGTGTTCTGTTAATGCTAATTTCATGATGATAGTATATAAATATAAATGGTGAAATTAATTGTATCCTATTGACGGCAGTAGTATTATTAATTTATTGGAAGACTTCGTTTGGTTCTGGTGTCAACATCACAGTTCACAGCTGTGAATTTCATATTTATCTTTCGTACGACGCAGCAGTGAACAATACAGACTATGCTGCTCAGCAGTGAATATCACAATTGCAGATTGCGCTACTGAGCAGTGAACATCACAGTTGCAGACTATGCTACTCAGCAGTGAANCAATTGCAGACTATGTTGCTCACTACGCTGCTCAGCCGTGAACATCACAATTGCAGACTATGTTGCTCACTACGCTGCTCAGCCGTGAACATCACAATTGCAGACTATGTTGCTCACTACGCTGCTCAGCAGTGAACATCACAATTGCAGACTATGTTGCTCACTACGCTGCTCAGCAGTGAACATCACAATACAGACTATGCTGCTCAGCCGTGAACATCACAATTACAACTATGTTGCACTTGTTCGAACATCACAGTTACAGCTCGTGTGGAGGCAGGCGATAAATGATAAAACGATCTTCAAAGCATCACTCCAGTTAAAAGCATCAGTTCAATTATTGCTAACTGGAATGCTATCACTCTTCGCTCTAACCTGATCGAGGAATCTCCACTGAATAAATTAAAGCTAAAGATTGTGTTGATTNAGTGAAAATCACAATAACAGACTATGCTACGCGCGTTCGAACATAATAGTTACAGCTCGTTGTGGAGGCAGGCAATAAATAATCAAACGATTTTCAAAGCAGCACTCCAGTTTAAAGCATTAGTTCTATTATTGCTAACCGGAATGCAATCACTCTTCGCTCTAACCTTGTCGAGGAATCTCCATTGAATAAATTAAAGTTAAAGGTTGTGCTGATTGTACAGGATATGTATTCTGGTCTACGAGGCAGTCCGACGCAAACCAGTATTAATCAATTCGGGAAATTTTGTTCTGTTTCCTATTTAGTTTCCTTACCTTGCATAAAAAATAATCTTTCTCATATATTAAAAATGTGATTTGCACACACTCCATGGGAAGATGACTATTTGATCATAAACGTATTTAGGATTTATATTTCTGTGGCCCTCAGTTACGCCTAGCGCAGTCACGCTCAAAATCATCAGTCAATAGTTGAATTGCATCATCTTGTATGTCCTGTATGTATGTCTTGTATGTCTTGTATGTAATGATAACATGATGAAAACATGAGGAAAACATGAGGAAAACGTAAGGATATTATATATTCATGAGGACAAAGCGAGGACATATTTTGTCGTAATTATGTCTTCATCTTTTTCTCGCCGGTCAACAGCCTTCTCTTGCCGGAGGCTCCAGCTGCAGCAGCTGTTTAACGCACCTACCCTCTTCTCCCCTCAGCTGCAGCAGCTGTTTAACGCACCTGCCCTCTTCTCCCCTCAGCTGCAGCAGCTGTTTAACGCACCTGCCC